TCGCAGGAACTCCTCGGCACATTAAGAGGGAGCATTCCGCATCATATCCTGCATTGCTGCCTTTAATGACTGCAATCGTTCTAATACCATTGTTGGACAAGTACAGGGTGGGAAACGGTGTAGGTATCTCTGATCATTGTGTACACTGAAGAACTCCATGCATGGATTATGGGAAAATAATTTGTACGCTATCTGGTTTCCTTCATTGCTGATACCTCGGACCACATTTCGAAATCTTCCTTCCCAAGTCACTCAATTGGGGTTCCGAAGAACCCTCGCTCTCTTGAGAGAAGCGGGACTTGAATCTGACGCCTTAACCGCTCAGCCATCCCGACTTCAATATTTATGCATCCGGTTCAGAACATTGGGGCAGGGGAATTGTCTGAATATCGTGCATGACCCTCCAAGCGCTCTACATTTCGGGTCCAAAAAGCGAAACTATAAGGAGGGCAATAGCCACTACCACGCTGTCCGAGGTGTCATTCACTTACCTGCACGGTCAGGATGTTGACTGCTTTGGAGCTGCCGTCTGCGAAGACAAGCGCGTTGAACCACCAAATGCCAACAATATACATGGGTAAAAAACAAAAAAACAAAGTCGATGAAAAATTAGTTGCTGTTGGAGATGAGTGAGTACAACCCATGATAGAGAAATAAAGTAATTTTGCCCCATGAGGCTTAAATTTGTCAACATGGGACGAGTAACAAGTTTAGGAACACCGAAATGACGTGAGTGCAAAACCTAACGCTCGGCAAGCCCCCCCCCCCTTCCCCTCATGAATAAACAGGTTTCTGCTGTTCAGATGAAAATAGACAGGGGCACTCCCATTGTAGCTTGGTTTCTGCAGATGCTGCTGGATCAGTGGCATGATTGAAATCTATTTTTTCCCCCACCGTTCTTAATATTACGTTGTTTCTAACCTTGTCACTGATCCCATATGGACAATAATTGACAGATTGGTGTCAAATGAACTCATATTTCTATTGAACATCTTTCTATTTAATTTATTTGTAATATCAACTTTCATTGGTTCTGCTTATTCGGGCCATTTTGCGAATGGCCACAGACACGATCGACAGAACATCTCACACGGACGTCGAGGCAATTACATGAGGATATCCTGAGGATTACAACCAGCAGACGTTCCCATTTTAAAGGACGGAGAGACCTAATTAACAGACGACGACTCATGCTCGTAGGTGCTCGTGTCCGCCTCTGCGAGCTTAAGGCGACCGTCCCTGAAAGCGGACGAGTATCGGGGGAGATCCGCGCAGTGGCGGCTCGTCAGACGCAGCGGTGGCAGCTCCTTCAGTCCAGGCGGGTTAGGCCCGGGCCTGAACTGTCTGCATCTGATGAACCATCGTTGAGGCCACGGGACGGGACATGCTGCGTGAGTTCCTAATGTTTTATACGTGGATGCCTGCAAGTTCTGTGAGAGATACAAACTTCCAGGAATCAGAGAAGGCAAAAAAATAAAAAAGAATAATTACATTGAAACCAACTGCTCATGACTTGAGCGAACAAAGAAGTCGCAGATGCTTTGCAGGTCCTGAGTTTCCTCATTTCTTTCTTGCTTGCGATTCCATGCCGAATTTCTTACTTCGGAAGAGATGTCAATGTCTTCGGACATCCTAGATGGCTTGCAGTTGACGTCAGAAACGACGTGAACCATTCATCTCTGATAAAAGTAAGTGCAATGCCCCATGGACCTAGTTGGTTTTTAGTTAGTTTTTGGTGGAAGTGAGAAAAAAGAAAGAGAAGAGAGCCTTCGGTATCAGCGACGAATGAATTGCTTAATATTAACTATTAATAAATATAAATATGTTGCGACGCGACAGATAGCAATTCCAGCAGTTCCACCGGGGAAAAAAGCATGATAAAAGGATTCAGCATCAGAGGCACACACAACAGCTCTGACGGAGTCATCAGAAAAACTCTTGTCGGAAGAGGGATTCGAACCCTCGCTCTCTTTAGAGAATCAGGACTTGAATCTGACGCCTTAACCGCTCGGCCATCCCGACTTACATTTTCTTGGAAGTGGAAGTGGAAGATCCATGGGACACTATATTGCACAATGCAGTGAAATGGTTCCGACGTTGGGTGGGCTATGAAAACAATGGTGAAGTCATGCACGTTCAATCATACAAGTACTTCATCTTCCCTCTCCGACATGAAGACTCGAGGAATGTACAGAATAATCTATAACCACGAGGAAAGAAGGTAGAGGGAAGTCGAATAAAATAAAAGAGAAGCATAAAGAATGGTGTTAGACCTGATACAGATAATAAATAAATGAGATGAATGGATCTAAAGATCTCAGTTTTTAATAATTTAGGGCTATAATTTTGACAAACTATCCACTTTCTGACTGCATTTTCCAAGGCATGGAATTGACTTGAAAATATTAACAGTATTGAATGGAACTTCCAACTGGGAGCACTGAATTTCCAAATACATTTTCTTAATTTTAAGAGTTCTTTCTTCTTCCCCAGACCCATATTGACCCAGCTTTCAGCAACAAAACAGCAGTAACTAGCGAATGCTCTTTCTCTTCGTATCTCATATTATCTCCCCATACTTGCAGCTAGCTTGACAGAGGAAACAGTCAGCTTGGAATCCGATCCTCATGCAAAAAAATCACGAATGTACCCATCCACCAGTTTTGCAGTTCCATCACGTTGCCATTACATACGTTTCTCTCGGAGAGAAAGCTCTAGAGGCCCTCCTAGTCAACTCAGGATACCGTCCCTCGAGCATTCCACGACTAGGGGTATGCTCTAAAAAAAAAGCGAAGTATGATCACGTAGGGGTCTGTCCCGCAACTGGCAATCCACCAGCAGCAACAAAAAATCCTTGTCCCCACTTTCTCTAAGACCTTCCCCGCTCCCCCCCCCCCCCTCCGCACCCCTTTTCGATCCGACTTCAAGCCTTACTTATTATTAAGTAAATTATTGGACGGATGAACAAGGCGCCAAGATCAAATTTATTCATCTCAAAATGATAGATGCAATTTAATGTAATTTTTATTCACGAGATGCATTCTGAAATTGGAAAGAGACGTCCTTGGGGTGTCTTTACGCCCAAACATTTTGACATCCCTGAGATGCCCCCACAAGTGATGTCCGGGACTTCTCACTTGTTCCAAGGGATATCTCTGGGATATACTTGTGTTGTGTGGGACAGGGCGGACCTAGCTGCACCTGGACAAGGAAGGAGTGAATGCCATTGAAGACAAGCGGCTAGAGAATGGTATCTACGAACCAATCAGATGCAACTCATAAATGACGTCATGAGGGGACTAGTTCTTACCCTGAAGGATGGTAGGTATTAGTCAGGTAGGTAGTAGTCAGGTATTGTCTCTAGTCCCCAGGGTGATCAGATGCCAATAATCTATCTTCAGACACATTCCCTATTTGCAGTTTCTCCTTCCAAGGCTCCATGGAACCCAGGAAGTGTGGCATGAAGGGATCGTTCTGAAGCTCCAGACACGAGACTGGTGGTGCAGGTTTCCCAGAATCCGAATGAAAATGTTTGCTAATCATTACAATTGCAACGGGTTGATTGATGAAGATAATATTCCCAAGGCCGCAGCAAGCTTCTCAAAAGCAAAATGCGAGTGGTGTTGTGTTATGGAGGAGTGGTGCAATGGAGAAGACAAACATCCCTTGTCGCCTGTGGAAGTTGCTGCCAATTTCACCATCTCCCCTTCCATATGGCTTTTGGAGACAGCTATAAGACAATCGGGAAATCAGGGAATGTGAAGGAAGCAGAGAAGCTTTTTGCTCTAAACACCAGATGACCTTCAGTGGACTGACTAATGAGGTTTTCCTCGCAGTCCTCTTCATAGCCATGCTTCTTCCATGCTGGCTCTCTTGTTTTCTTCCTTTCATCTCTTTGGGACATCATCTGGGAAAACAGCTGTAACATCAGTCTTAACATTAGACTGATAGCTGTGACTGAGCTCTGAAGAGCTCAGACTGCTGCTGGCTCTTCAACTTCAGTCATTCAATATAAGAGAAAAAGTGGAAGTTTTGAGGCATCGATGCTCCCCTGAGATAGAAAGGTCAATTCAACCTTGCTTCCTCTGCCACCCAAGGTTGCAAAGCCAAAATGGAACTGTCGGAGATTACATGTGTCAATATCCCAATTCAACAGGGGCTTAGAAACTTAATTTCAATTTGATGATAAATATTAAAGCAGCCTGGACTTACATCTGTCATATCAAAGATTGATGTAGGAGTTGGCACCTTGGGTATTCCTGGTCACGTGGAATGAAATTAAATCAATATGTCCCCGTTAGTCTTGTCTTTTTCTTGATTTTAGTGGGTCAGGAACTTTCGGAACACCTTAGGATAGTCCTCTGGCCAGGCCTCTCACCTCGTACTATGCCGGATGGACCATTACAATATTTTAAAAAAAAACCTACCGTGGATCGTGTAGAGCCCTGGACAGGCCAATTTCCCGGTACCCGACCCGATAGGCCCGATTCAAGTCATCGCCCGTACCCGACCAGAAACCAGAATTCTAACCCAATTTCACGGCCCGACCCGACCCGAGCAAAAATTAAACGCTTTAACCTATGCTTTCCTGTTCATTTCCTCATCATTCCAAATTACTATGCAAAAACAGGTTGATTGTTGACTGAAAGGAGAAAATTTATTGGAAGAGAGAGAGCCAAACAGATTCCGGTCTCGAGTGGCACCAATTGCCCCATGCCCGTCTCGAATTCTTCAGTCCTTCATGTTCATGGTCACACAATTTCGTATTTTCCTTCTCTCGGATTACATGCATAAATAAGATTCCAGTCATGACACGAAGTTTCCATAGTCTCAGACCAGAGGAACGACAACATTTAAAAATTAAATGTTGCCTAAAAATTAAATGTAAAAATTCGCCCTGACCCGACCCTACCCGAAGAAGGACCTTGATAAGTTCGGACCTAGACGGCCCGCGGGTCGGGTCGGGTCGGGTCGGGTCGATCGGGACGGGCCGCAGCCCGTTCAGGGCTCTAAGTCCATGGCATTACAACACTTACACATAACGCGATCTGCAGTTACCTAATCTTGGGACTCAGAAATGCGTCCGTATCGATGAATCTGAATCCCAATCGGCGGCGAAGCTCCTTCTCTTCGTTAACCGATGGACGAGGAAACAGTCACAGTGTGCCAATTTAAAGAAAATAGCGGCTCACTGATGAAAACACACTAAAACGTTGTAAAAAAAAAATGAGGTTGCCAGAAAAATCCAGCAGGACCAAGTGCTCATGGATGTCTCATTAAGATGTCTCATCGTTCTATCAATCTGACATGCTACTTACTTATCACCTTCAGCCATCCATCCTATTAACTGGACCTAGCATCCTGTGATTGTTTCCTGTTTCTGTGTTCTATTCCAAGTAGAAGAGAGGCTGATTATAATCAGAAGTACCATGCTAAGTGAACTGAAGGCTCTGCCAAAGGATGGACTGCAGACGTATATGCAAAAATTCTACACCCGCTGGAATAAGTGTGTAGACTTACATGAGGACAATGTTCAAGGGGACCTTTGGAGTTTAAGGTACGGGTGTCCTGGCAAAAAAAAATATTCATGAGCATTTTGATGGGTCCTTGTATAGGGTCAAATATATTTTTCATCACGAACACTGTTTTACAACATGCAGCATTACAATAACAAACCCATGACACCCTGTTCATGATAGGTTGTTTTACATAGTACAGGCTCCGTACTACATATGGGAATATCTCCACTGGATAATGAATTTAAGTTTATGGTACGAAATGATGATGGCCAATATAGGGCAAAAACCAGCTAATTGGGTAAGTGAGTCAAATGTTGCGCTTCAACTTCCTGCCAACGTTGGCCCTGCATTGGCCCAACGGTCACTTGTACGTGGGGCCTACGTGAATAACCTAGTTGGGCCAACGTATTGGAGGATCACATTGGGCCAATGTGGGCCCCACGAAAAAAGTTGTCTAATTAGTCTTCATCGTGTTATGGTAAAAAAAAAAAGAAGCAAAGTATAATCGTGATAGGGGTTCGCCCTGCAACTGGGAATCCAATGTTTGAAAAAAAAATCATTGCCTCCACATTCTTTAAGACTCCTTTTCGATCTGACTTCAGGCCTTAATTATTATTATCGAGTAAACTATTAATCAGATGAGCAAGGTTTTTGGCATACAAATTCAATCCGAAAACAAAGTATTTAATTTCAAGAATATGAACAATTTAATGGTTTTCTTTCCTTATTATGGCCGCTCTCACATCCAAGCAGGACAAGTCCACGTGGTTTTCACCACGTGCTTGGGATTTAACTACATATTAGCAGGTGCTACATTATTTCCGAGTGAGAGCTACAACGTGTCCTTGGGAAGGAAGACTCTATTGTACGTAGGTTAACAGACTCGTCTCTAGATGTAGGATGGAGGCCTAGAAGAACTCCGGTGAGGAAGCTAGAGTTGGGATAGCATCCTTGAAAAAAAGTTAAAAGATATTTAAAAGATCTGTTTATTATTATTATTATTATTATTATTATTATTTGATGACTTGATTGAGGACGTGATGAAGGAAATGATTTAAAATAGGAGAAGTACAACCTACAACATACATGATATACGCTACCCCAGGTCCAAACAATTTCAAAAACGGGAAAGAAGGTAAAACCCAAAGGGATCCTGTGTGATACCAAATGTTTGAAGAAGAAAATATTCAGGCTAGGCCTATCGCTTAAGTAGCCATTTGGTCCCAGTAGCCCTCAGGAATCTGGAATTGGTGGGAAAGGGATAGAATCATCAAGACCTGGATTAATATTTGGTTGGACTTGGGTCCTTCAGCCCATCAGAACGTTTGTACAATTATTTGTGCTCAACCTGATTGTATTTAAAAAATGATTCAGAAAAGTATCCTGTTAGTGATGATCCTAAAGTTCCACTTCTGTTAAGTGTGTGGAACATCAAGTCTAAGTTTTTCTAACCTTGATTTCTAGTTCACTCTCTACTTCCCTTTTCCCTGTCATACAAAAAAAGGAGGTAAAAGGCTTGAACCAGGAATGCACCATGCCACATGCCATAACTGGGAAAAAAGAACCAATGAGGAAGTAATGAACAAAAAAGTCTTTTTAGGATGTGAAAAGCTCAATTTCTACATTCACACTAAAGAAGAAAAACTACATATAAATCTGTATCCAAACAAATTAATGTTTGAACATCAATTGAATTCATGGCAACTTCTTTCAGTCAAAAGTTCTATGTCAAAGGGTGTTGAGTGTTGAGGAATTATGGTTCACTTAGGTTTTCAAAAATTGTCAGTGCTGTAAAAACTGTTGATTATTCATGCATACATTGAATACATGAATGATTGCATGATTAAGCATATGCTTAACTGGACCTATGCTTTGGAGGTTGTCAAACATAAAGCATTGGTAGTACCCTACCCTCAAAGTTGTTTTTACTCTCTCTCATAAGTAGTATAAGCAGAATTATGATTAGTTTTTGTCTGGAGAATAGTAGGCCTAAGCATAACCATACCAGTGCCTGGCTGGACATATGTCAAGCTTTCTGTCTCTCTTCAGATGTTCTTATCTGGTGTGGGACAAAAGCTTCCAAAAGTTAGCTGTGGGTGGAGTGTCCTCAGGCCTTGTTACAACAGTGCTGATTTTATCCCAAGAGGTTTCAGATTCATCAAAATATCCAGTCAACTTCCTACATCAGCCAGAATGCTGTCTTCAAGCTCCTTTCAGACATTGAAGCTTTCTTCTCCAACCAGTCATGTCTGCCATGTGGAAATCAATCGACCTGAGAAGCGAAATGCCATGAATCATGAGTTCTGGATGTAAGTTCAGTTGTGAAACTATTCATTTAACTGGCAATTGACATGAATTCCAAGAAAAACTCTTTTTGAAAAATATGATTTTCTCTGAAAGAAAGGGGATTTTCAGAAAAGGACCAAAATTCTTCATTCTCCATGTGTTATCTATCATCTCCCACTGGTATTTTTATTATATCCTCCTACGTCCATCCCTTCCCCAAGCCCAGGAGGTTATATCTCCTTTTTTTTTTATCCTTCTCCCTTTGTTGGCATTATGGTTGCATTCTCCAGATGCTGATATCTGTTGGGATTTTGCAAAGTTTTGAAACCCTATTAACAGTTGTGCATCACACTGAAGAATATTAAAGACTGAAGATCTTTCATAGAGGAGGTAAACTGAAAGAGGCCCTTCAAGTTGATATTGAACGGCATACAGCATGATCCAGACAACATTTTATAAGTTTTCATGTAAAATTTCAGTATAGATACCATTTTCTTCACCAGTCACAAAATTGAATGGTGTTTTTCAATATTTCATGGTACATCATTTGATACATCTAGGGCTACCAAAAGTTTGTACTGAATGATGGGTCATTGAACTTTTGTACCTTCAGAAGTTTTATTGTGCTGCTCTTCAACTGTGCCTGATTGGTCTCATAAAATTATGGGGTTTTAAAGTAACCCCTTTTAACCCTTTGACAAGTATGCCCGTATGTGTATGGCTGACATCCTCCTGCCCTCCATGTATTCACTACAGGTGATCTAGGCATTAAAAACATCCACTCCTCAAACTGTTAATATTACTGATGTCTCAATGCAGGGAAGCCCATTTTTCTCAATCAACATTGAGGAATCAGATGGTGGGATTGGTAGAGGTGGATCCACCTTCACTAGTCCTTTCAGTGCTTGCACATGTTCACATTGAAATTTTGTGGTCTTAAGTTCTTCCTCTATGTTTTTTCTGGATCTCTAGCATGTTCTTCAGTTTCCTATTATTGTAATTGCAGGGAGCTGAAGTCCTGTTTTGAAAGTCTCGCACAATCTCCTGAGTGTAGAAGCATAATCCTCAGTGGAGCTGGGAAATGCTTCAGTTCAGGAATTGACCTGAAATCATTTGCTGAGAAGGGTGCATCTATGATGGCTGTGGAAGATGTTGGTAGGAGGGCAAAGATGATGCGAGATTTCATCATTTCATATCAGGAATCATTTTCTTCACTTGAAAAAGTTTGTAGTTTCTTTTCTTTCCACCCCCTTCTTAACACATTGGCTGCCAAGCGCATCGTTGGTGATACATTTTGCATATTAAAAATTCTATGTGGCAGCCAATGTGTCAAGGAGCCCATCACTCAAGTATAAATCCATTCCCTTATTAGCAGATTTATGAATTGTTGGGGTATCTACTCCGTGAATCAATAAGTGTACATGAGACCAGAGTGATCATACCACTAAATACTGGTGTGGTAAGGGAAAGTCTCTAAGAGCACTCTGCACTAATTCAAAATGTCTTTATCAGCAATTGCCAGTACTTTAGGTCACCATGCTTCAGTAGTTTCATCATCTTGCACACCTAGTGTAATTGTAACTATTCTTTTATGCTTGAATATATCAGTCCAAGTTGATTCTGAGACTTTCATGTCATGATTCTTCCTGGGAAACTCAAACATTGGTACCTTTGGTTGAATCAAATGTGAGAGGAGGGTGAGCAGATGACTAAGAGTCGTCACCTGTCTGAATGACCTCAATTGGTTCTGTCCTTTCTAAGTACCTAGTAAGACTGTCTTGGGAGCTATCCAAAGTGCTTTGACAGTTTTCATGTGGCTTTGCAAATCAGAAATAGATATGGAATCCAAACTGTCAGTTATATTCAAAGAGAGTCCCTATTATTTGGCAGTTTTGGATGCATGGCAAATAAAATAATTACTGTAGGTGCAAGGAGCAACAAGGCTTTCCTAAGGGATCTTATGATTTTCATTGGGAAGAGGAATGGACTGTCAAATTGGCCTGATTTGAGTGTTCAAAGAGTAGAAAACTTGGGTAATTTCTAGGATGAATTCCCATGCAGTTGTTCATCATGATGGTAAGTGGCAGTTGTTTGTATACTCTCCAGATATGAATAGCTACCTGAAGAAGCTCTCTATGATGTGGCTTTGTCAAAGTGATACACTCATCAGAGAGGCTATTCCTCAATGCTTAACACCAGAAATACTGATGTCTGTTAACAAGTGAATGAAATCTTAATTCTTGTGTTTTATTGTCAGTCATTGGTCTACTGAGCTGTATGCCAGCTGACATGACAAAAGTTTAATTATTGACAAGTACTAGGTTGCATTGAAAAGTCAAGGTGCTTTTAATTTTAGAAGGGTTTGTCCATAGTGTTTTATTTACATATTTGGTATTATTTACTACATGGGCTTCAGCAACACTAACACACTTAATCCACTTATACTTCATGGTTCTGGCAGTATAGAAGTCTTTGGATCTTTCTCATATTAACTCTTGCACCACCTATTTCAATTAGCCATCATCAATGAACCCCAACCATGGATTGACTATAAATAGGCAAATATACAGAGGGGGCAAGTTTCACACTGTGCTGCAGATGTGGAAACACCTCCCATTGTAAGCCATGCACCTGTATGGTAGTTGCTGTAGTGATGTGAGAACAGCCATGATCAATATTTCAGAAAAGTCCTCTCACTTAATTGCCTGCACCACCCTGCAATAATTGCTGCCTTTAACTGTGTCAACAGATGATAAACAGACATGTTTGGTAATAATGATGTGAGGGACTGAGCCACTATATTTTGCTATGGTATGATAATATAGCAACTACCCAACAAGTGCTAGATTTACACTGGGAGGTGCTCCCATATATGCAGCACAGCTCAGAACTTTCCTCCTCAGAATTTCATTTGTTTGGCCAGCTTAAAGATGTTATCTGTGATTAGATTCATCATTGATCACAAAGTGAAGCAGGTGATGCAAGAGAGTACAAGGGAAACCAAAAGGCTTATGTGTTCCATGCAGGAAACAAGGACGAATCATCTTGATCTGCCTTTTCCTAAACTCATGTCCAACTCTGACTTGGCAGATTTGATGAATCAAATGCATCACTCAGAATCAGCTTGGATTTGTACCGTACACATCATCAAATCCTGATGAATATTGATCACTTGAAATGTATTCTTGCAGTGTCCAAAGCCTGTGATTGCAGCCATTCATGGGGCATGCATTGGGGGAGGAGTTGACTTGATATGTACAGCTGACATACGGTATTGCACTCAAGATGCACAATTCCAAATCAAGGAAGTTGACATTGGTAGGCCCATGCTAAGAAGCTCTTCTCATCATTCACCATCATGACTCATAGTTAGTTCATGCATGAGATTGGGCAAAAGTAATGTCTCATAGGCAAGGGATTGTTTCATAGCTACATGCACTGCATCAGAAGGAAAGGATACTTGCTCACAATACTCCAGTGCAGCACTAATGTTTCATAGAAGCTCCATGGTAATGACAGCAATATTAAAAGGGATGTGATCTTGAAGCTCATTTATTGAATATATAAATGATTTATGTTTCTTCCAGAAAGAAGTGCAACAAGGTCAGATGGGGTTGGATGGTGGGAGGACTTAACAAGTCCTCATCTATCCAGTGTGTTGTTCATCTAACCATTGATGGACATTAAGTGAGAAGTGCACTGTCCAACTGGGATTGATGCCTATGAGGCATGACTTTTGCCCAACCTTGTACATGAATATGAATTCATGCTTGAGGTTCTTGTCTTTATTCTGTTCATTGTACAGAATTTGTAGACAGAATGGAATTCTTCCCCTTTAGAGTGAATAGTTAACAATGATCAATATCAGCAGTGAAGTCACTATTGCAATTGCTGCTACCTTTTATTAAGGGATGAGATTTGAATTAATCTACTTGATATATGATATAATTAGGAGACAGTGCAGTTCCCTCATATTCCTCTTGGCTGAATGGAAATGGAGTCTTATTAGTATGTTACTTAGTGAAAAGACATGTTGCAGGTGTAGCAGCAGATGTTGGTACCCTACAACGAATGCCCAAGATCATTGGAAGTGAGAGTCTGATGAGGGAATTGGCTTACACTGCCAGGTTTATGGGAGCAGATGAAGCTCGTCAATGTGGACTTGTTAGCCGCATCTTCCCAGATAAGGACAGGTTAGGGTCTCTTTCTTCCTTTGGTCTTTCATGTCCCATCAATAGAAATTTCAGCACATTATTAACTTGTTTTATGCTGCTTTGCTCTCATCAAACAGCATGATGAAGGCAGTGCTTGCCCTGGCTGAACTCATCTCCACAAAGAGTCCAGTTGCAATCCAGGGCACCAAAGCCAATCTCAACTACTCTCGGGACCATGGGGTATCAGAGGCCTTAGATTATATGGTAGGTCTCTCTTGTTATAAGGACCCATCTCATGGAAGTGTGAATGAAGCAAATCTGTGGCTTCCTAGAACAAAAACCCATGTATTCTTATGACCATACTACTTCAATAAAAATTACAAAACCAACCATATCTCAGTGCCATCCTCATGTGAGCCATCATTATGTCATCTGAGAAGAATTCATATTGCCTCATACTGTATTTCATTCTGACCTATATTGAGCAAAGAATGTCAGAGCACATCACTTCAGGCTGAAGGTCTGAAGTTTTAAGATTTAAGAAGTGAAATTTTAAAGACCCAGGACAGATTTCTTGTGAAGCCTAAAGTTGCATCTGTACATTACAATATAGTGAGCAATAATTCTTTTCAGTTTTGATTCAACATTCTTATGACCATAGCTTCTGAAGGAATTTTATTAGCATAAAAGGGGCAATTGGAGAGCACAAGTGGATCTGTTGCTCATGTCAGTGCTTCTATACAATTTTCCCTCCTTTTCTCTTTATATTGAATTGGTTTTCTAAGCAATATCTCTCTCAGCATTCAGTCTAGCAATCCCAGGCATAAAATTATTTTAGGAAGTGCACCTGAAAAGGGTACATATTCCAGACTTGATGTGCACTGTCTTTTCTAAATATATAGGCAACATGGAACATGGCAATGCTACAGACTGAAGACTTGATGAAGTCAGCCATAGCTCAAATGGAGAAAAGCAAAACTCCTCCAATATATTCCAATCTGTGAAGTCCATGAAGTCAACAAAAAGGTGAGGATCACTATGATTCTTCATTTGCCACAGGCCTACCTCTATTAGTGGTCATGATGCTTTCAATTCAGACAGTACAATGGTCATGTGATACCAGAATGATTCTAAGCTCTCACTTTCATACAAGTGTTTTTAAATGTAAAAAACTTATGTAGCTAAGGGAAGAGCAGGTAGCAATATTCTTCCCTACATTCATATGTTTATGACTGCAAAACAAACTTGATGTTTTCCTTTTTTTCCCTCCCCTTTCTCCTGAAAAGGTGGCTCTGCAATGATGATTGGGTTCCCTGGTGTTCAAGGTCTATGGAGGAAACCTACCCTGCCAGCTATCCTCTGCAGCAGTTCTTGTAATTGATTTACCTGTATGATAATGTCTCTGGGTTATTGATGCTCATGGATTTCTGGGAAATATGCATCATGTATTTGAATGAATATCAGGTGTCATTATATCAAGACTGTACCAGAGCTATTCTCATCTTTGTTTCTTGTGTCTTATTATGATTGCCATTAAATTTTGAGCATAGCCATATTGACATCACATATTGATTGCTTTATTTTTACAAATAAAAGTCAATAAATAAAATCAAGGTCAAACCCAAGTGATTTTCTTGCCATTGATCTTCTGTATCTTTGTCTTAGACAGTTTATCAAAAAACAGGAGTCCAGCAGCTCGCTCAACAGTTTCAGGTGGGACCTGGAATAAAAGAATGCAGAGGAATAAATACATACAATACACATATACACTGTCTCAATAAAAAAGAAAGGAGGCCCATTAATTTTATTAAGTATCTCTGTCCGATGTCATGTGAAGCTCATGCTTTTCTGAACATGCCATTTCAGATGAGTAAGAAAGATTCCTGCCAAGTGTAAAACAATTTCACCTTGTCTTCTGAATGCAACTTTTCAAAGTTGAGTTAAGAATCACAGTGGATGAGCAATCTGTGCTCTATTCTAGCCAGGTGTATCACTTTAGTGTTCCCCAAAATGACAACACAGGCAGCAGGTGGTCTCATCAATGATATTGGTTTTGATAAATTCCTTTAATCATGTTAATCTTTCAATGGGTTTGAGTTTGATTCCTTCTTGATTGAGGATCAATTCATTGACAGTCTTGAAATTTCCCACTGTTTGGGTTTTATGCTGCCTGCTGCTTCCTCATTTCCTACCAATAAATACAGTTTCAGCAATTTTTTCAAACAACTTCTCAAGATCATGACATGACCTTTTTTCCCAAAGGAATTTCTTCATGAATCAGTGAGAGTTGTACTTCTTCATCTCTCACAAGCCCTTTTCAGGTGCTTGTCCTCTGTACTGTATCCCATGATGGTCTTCATAATTTTGAATACACGACAATGACGGTAAGAATGGATAGTAAGGCCTTAGCACGTGATACATGCCAAGAGTAGTAACATGTTCAAGTCATCTACTCTGTAACCCTATCCTAATTACAGGTACACAATTTTTAACCCAAGAATAATCTACATCTTAGTTGCAAAGCTGTAAGGTCCTTTTACAAAACTGTAAACTCTAGATAAGAAGTGCCAAAACCAGATCCTTCACCCAGACTGTCTGCAGCCTGTTCTCAGTCATATTGGAGCACACCAAAGGGATCCACCTGGCAAGGAGCAGTAGGCAAATTGGTTGTTTACTGAAATCTGTAATACTCCAATTTTTAAAAGTTATTACCCTTGAATCTCTGGTTGGCAGAGGTTCAAGTGTAATAACTTTAAACTTTGCAGAAAATTTCTTATTCATCTGAGATTTTATGTGCTGAAAAAAGTAAGGCACATATGGAAATAGGATGGAGATACTTAAAACAAATAAAGTGGCCCCCTTTTTTTTTTTAGAGACACTATACTTTTTTAAATGTGGAACAGTATTCTCACAAGCTTTCTAGATGGAGTGGGAACAATACTTCTAAGCTCTATGCCTTGCAGTAGTATTTAAAAAAATATCATAGCTGACTCACACAAAATGACAATCTGCTCAAAGTATTGCCCAATATATAAGGGAGTTATAAAAAAAAAAGGACCAAAATGTACAACTGGAATGGCACCCTTTTTTCTATTATTCTTGCACTTATACAAATTGAGTTTCATCAAAGGCAATAGATCTGGCAGTAAAGAGGAAAGTATTCCCCTTCCCTTAGCTTTTTTTATCATCTCTTTATGCTACATTGAAATTGTTTCATTGAGGGTGACCTTAGGGATTAAACCTTTAGTTGGGACAGACCAAGTGAGCTCATAATTTGAATGCATTATCAGCACCATTTCTTCAGTTTTTAATTATTTGGAAATCACAAGTCCTACATGGATTCAATTGTATGAAATTTAACTTACTTCTCTTAAGTTAAGTACAGAAGTATGAAGGGAGCCAAATCCTAACAGTTTTATGTGAACAACAGTCTCATTTTTCATTCTTTAAATCTCATGTAGAATCATTGTGTCAAGGACTAGCTATAACTTACTTGAAAATTGGTTAGTGGTGCATCATCTTTGATGACAGCATTTGGCATGACATAGGCCTCCAGCTCAAGTGCTCCTGAGGCATCCTCTGCCACAATGACTTTAAAAAAGTGGGTTGGAACAGCCACGTGGCTCTTCCCAATCACCTGATATCTTACATACAGCTTTCCATCTGCCTCTTGCCTTTCAAAGAAAATATTCCCATATTTGTTTTTCATGAACAACTCACAAGTACAATGTACTCCTGAATTATTTCTTACAAATTATGCCAACATTTGCTGACCATAAATAAGATCATGACCTTTTGTCATTGTGTAATTAGTGCTCCAAGCTACCAATTTGCAGCTATTTGGTATATATGAATGGAATGTAAGAACTTAAAATGTTTTCAATGCAACCCTTGATATCCCCACTAATTACTGAAAATATCAAGCATTAATGGAAGTGAGCCAACAATGACCATTAATGACCCCATTCCTTTAAGCATGATGAACAACTTTGGCATATCAGGATCAAATGTAAAATGGCTTAGTGAATAATGGAAGATAACTGCAATGGCTAAAAGTTAGGAAAACATTTAAATAAATCTGTTTCAATATGTAGGAGCTATTGTGACTTAAGTGAGGCAGGCAGGCAAATATAATTAGAATAACATATTTGAAGAAGAAAGGTTTAAAAGTAAGCTTTTCCATTACTCCCTTACCTTGGTAAATAAAGGGGTCCTGTGCAAACATAAACATTTTTGTATTTCCTAGCAAGGTGACGGACGTATTTTTCAAGCCTATTCCAGGAATCCCTGTTGAATCCCTTTCCAACCTGAGGAGCCATGTTCGAAAGAAGAAATGTCTGATCACAATGCTCCTGTGTCAGTCGATGGTTTCCTGCTGCAGCCAAATGCCCTCTGTCAAAACCACTCCCCTTGTAATCCTGGTTCACAGACCTGAGTCAGGATGGAAAAAATAGCAATTCTGGCTGTGCATGTCAGAAAAAATACTTCTCATGTCATCATATAATGCTTGGATTCCAACAATCTATGACATATTGTAAGCTCATGAAGAATGTGGCCCAAGGGAGTCACACTGAACCTTATCTATACCATAATTTTCCTTTTTGAGTACCTTCTCCTCCAGGTAATATTATGTTGTCATGTGTGGGAACACAAGATAACTCAATGCGATAAAGCTTATCCCCTTTCTCTTGTCATGTGTCAAACAAAGCTCCTATGGGAAACAGTCACATAAAAAAAATGTGCCTCAAGCCTCTCAATTGCATATGAAGGGTTCAGGGAAAATTTTTTAATGGAAGTCCTTCCAAAATGAAGGAAAACAGGCTTCCAAGCCTAAGGGGGAAGGTGAGAGAGCAGCAAAGTGAAAGAAGGAAGACAGGTGCAGTTTTGCTTTCCTTTGACCCATGAACACAATCCCTAAGGAATAGAAAATAGATGCTGTATTACCAGTGACCTGATTTCTCCAGTAGTAGTATAGGGGACTTGGGATCTTTCATAGCAACAAAAGCAAAAATGAAAAAATAAGGAAGTCCTCTGAGCTATGCTAAATGAGGTAAAACTAGCAGAGGCATGCTTTTTCTTTTACCCTTTTGTATAATCCTGAATTTAATAACTTTTTGAAGTACCTGAACCATTCCACAAATCCTGAAACTTTTACTTGAAAATATAAATCTGGGTTACACCTCAGAAGCAGCAGTTACTATATTAAAAAATTGGAGATTTATGGATTTCCATATGCAGCATTACACCAGTATTGTGTCAAATGCTAAAAAAAAAAATTTCCTTGCAAACTTCCAGTCAGCTGGACTTCATGTAGAAATGAATATTTCAATGCCATTGGGAAAGTGAATTTGGGGATCAGTGGATATATATTTTGAGTTGAGTTGAAAGCTCCTGATTTTCATTCCTGGCCCTGAATTTGTAATATGCATTGTTATATGCAAGGCATATAAATTTCAGGCAGAAATTCATTGTTTAACAGCACACAAAATTATATTATCACAACTTAATGGTATGCCATGAATGTGCTACATACCCAACCCCCAAAACAGTATATATTTTCATTACACAATACCTGGGGTATTATATACACTAAGATCAGACATTGATATCACAATGTTTGAGTTCTCAAAATATTTTGTCTTCTTTTCTCTGCTGATGATGCAATTTTCATATCAAATTTTCAGAAACAAACTATGAATATAATCATGCACTCATGTTTTTTTTTTAGGAAGAAAGTTCAAGGCACACTCATGTACGTGAGAAACTTCAAATAATGTGTTTGCAAGTTGCAGGGAGAGCAGATATGAATATTCATCTAAATGTCACACACGATTATGGAATGAGCCATCTTATTTCATTTTTGTAACCTGTCATATCACATGGTATAAAGCAAGAATGGAATGAATTAAGCCTTTATTTTACACAGTCTTTTGAAAAGTGATCTTGCAGTCAAGAACAATAAGTATGGTTGCATAACCAAAACCCTTGGGATTACAGAGCAATCAATTTCATACCGGAAGAAAGGATGAATGGAACTGTCTTCATGAAAATTGCACTTGCTCCGATCCACTGTATCCCTCTTCTTTATTCTCTCTGCTGTGAGATGTTCAAATACCCAATGGGCAACCCTGTTGCGTCTGTCATATGACAGGACATAGTCATCCAGGGATCGAATGTTATCCAAACCAGGAAATCCGAATCTCATGATCTATTAAATTGCAATATCAATATCTCATGAGCAATTGCTTCAGTGAATTAAATATATACAGAATATAGTATCATGTATCAAGACATGGACAATGTGCCTTTTTCTCAAAATGGTTTCAAATGATGTTTTAGAGTCTAAATGTAAGTGAAAATGAATTTCACTAATAAACCTGAGCTGTTCGGGAAGCCTGAGGAGGTGGTTCTGGAACAATGTCAGCAGCTTGAGAAGGCACTGCTGCAGAAACTTCTCCATAAAGAGGTAGACCAGGGACTGGCAGTCTTCTATACCATGCTCCAATATAGTTGAATGCTCCTTTGACACTCCAGTCTGCCTCAGCAGAATACTGCTGTCTACTACTGCCATTGCCAAGGATGTATCCAACAATTCCAAAAGATGCTGGTATAAGCACAGTGCGTATTCTCCTTAGTGCCTTCATAATTAATAGTCAATATGTCAGATCACTGGTTCACCCTAAAGTGTACCAAACAGAATGATCTTACAACATGCAAATATGCAAGAATAAATATTTCCTGGAAATATCTTAGAATGAAAATGTATAGCATTATCAGCACTAACCCAAGTAATGGTCATACTTCAGGATACAAGGATGAAATAAGGGGGGTAACCTTGACAAGGAGCACTACAAAAATAAGACAAATAATTTCAAATTTCAAGTTAAAATTTGGCAAAAATAGAACTCAAGGGAATAGTGAATTTAATGTGACATTAGAGAAGCAATTGCTGAAATTAAATGTACTTTACCTCTCAACATCACTTAGTAAGTTGAATGGAACAGTATTCCAGCTGTTCATTCACATTTCAAGTTCTATTTTTTTTATTCCTAATACCTGCTACACAGCTAGTTTTCCACACATACTCAAAAGAAATCCTTATGTTTTCTGGTACAGAAAAGCCTAAAAGATGCACTTAATGCAGGAATTGAAATCACATTCATGATTACATCAAGTGAGGAAACAATCCCAGAAGAAACAATTATTCTCTGAACTGAATTATATATTCACCTGCTCCCACAACACTCACATATTGTTCAAATGTGCTTGTGAAGTCAATTTACTTTAGTGGGTTGAGCTGTTTATTTCCAGAATTTGTTGATCAAAGTTAAGTTTTTATTCAGTAACCAAGGCATCTTTTATTTTTTTCTTTTGCAGGCAATGTCTTTGATCTAGGAAGTGAAAGGACCATAGATCCAGGAACAGTTTGGCAGCAATAACAGAAGCTCATGCCAGGATGAGTGTTTTAATACAAACATCAGTCAGCAGTTAAGTTTATAAATACAACTTACAGATCAGAAAGAAGGAAAGATAGTAGCAAATAAGGCTTTGTTTGTGTTATCAAAAACATTACAGCACCATCTCTTGTCTGCCAAAGGTTTTTTCAAGGGACTTCACAAAATCACTGGATAAAATCACTGAACTTCTTCACACAAAGCCAACATACCCCCAAAATGCAAAACTCTCTCCAGTATTGGACCCAAAAGCAAATTTAGGTAATGATTTTCCTGAAAGTTTGAGGTGTAGCATACCCAAAAAATGCTATCAGTGAGCACATTCACTTGTGACCTGGTTCATGAGCAGAGTCAGTATTGCTTTAAGTGTTTTGTAGCAACTGAGGCCATAACATCTATCTGAAATAAATGTCTCCAGGGAGTGAGGAAACATGACATGGATTGACTTGCTAAGTATAAAGCTAAGCATAAAGGTTGGGACAGCTTGGCAGTATTTTCATTTTTAATCTTCTGTTAAACTTTTAGAATTTCCCATCAGTAAGCATTTACCAATAAAATCAAGCTACCTTCTTTTATTTCTTCATTTCCTTTGTCCTCAAAACTTTTCAAATAGTACAGAAATAACCTTTCCAATAGAAATCGGACAGAGCTTCCATTAACTGATTAAAATATTTTTTTAATGAATGGCTGGTAGGCCTATTGCTATTTATGTTAAAATAAATTTGAATGTCTTGAGGCAGAGTTCTAGGAATAACTGGTCCATATATAGGGAGCTAGAAAATGTTTGTATTATTTTTTCATTGCTAAAAAAAAAGAAGTCTTTAGGATTCCATGTGAACACATGAAATACTTATATTACACAGAAGACTTTGTCAACATATTGGATTTAATATATAATAACCTGAAGTTAAACAATGAAAAGATTGACGAGGTTGTATTCAATGCATAGATCCATGGAAGCCTTTTTGATGCTCAACTATGGTGGAGCATCAAATCTTGGATCAACTTTTGTGCACAATGACATAATCTATCATGTTTCCTTCTGTCAGAATGCCTCAAAAACAAAATTTTTCATTGAAAAAAACTTTTTTTTACATTTGCAATAGCAGAACAGAAGGCATAATGCCCCCTTACCATGTTAAAATTACCAGTTCATTTTTTTCAATCCTAATAATAAGGAAGTGTATCTAAAAAATTTTTAGCAACATTAGAACAAATTTTTACATTATGTCCCTACTACATTAGTAAATTTTTGGTCATGAAAGTCATGTATTTTTTAGGAGGCCACTAGTGCTACTACTGTGAATGTTGTCTTAAGTTATGCTGAGGCATGCCAAGTCATAAATCTGGGTTTTTGGTAACCCAAGTGAATCATGCTGTCAAAGAATTCTGATGTAGCAATGAATGCAGCCAAAAACAGGTTTTTGCAAGGCAAAACTCACCATACCCCATCTAATGTTTATTGAACCAATTGAATTAATATGTCTCACATATTAATTAAATTGATTTTATCATGGTGATTCTCTTCCATGGATTGATGTGCAACAGAGATAAAACTGCAAATTTGTGATATTACATTTGAGATGGAAACTTTAACCCTTTCAGCAGTGTCCCAAATCATTATCCTGCAGGCAAGCACGCAGCTGCATGACAAGTACATACTCGGGATGATGCTGAAAGGGTTAAAAGAATTATTAGCTATGTGTATTGTGGAAAATTGTGAATCAAATTCAATCTTGCTTTTTTGTATTTTCTTTGTTATACTAATGAAACAAAATCTTGAGATTTGATGAAGGTATAGAACTCTTGCTTTAAATTAGATTTGATTTGAATACTGAATATTGCCAAAGGATTATAGATTTGAGGCATACAATTGAGTTTTCCCAGCACGATTTGAGATTTGATACAGGATTTCCCTATCGCTAATAATATGGTATATTAATTCAATATTATTCATTTCTATGTTTCCTTATTTCTTGTGCATAGACCTTGAACTTCATGAATTTTTCCCTTCCCTTTCTATTGTTCCCTAGATTGGTTCCTTCTCTTTTTCCCTTAATTGCCAAAAGAAATGAGGTGATGGCTCCCCATCCACCATGAAGGCAAACTTGCTGCAATGATGTGTAGCAAAAATAAAATAAGCAAATCAGCCTACCACCTCTCTCTATCCTTTAACCGAATCCTGTCAATAGCACATCTTCCACCACTAAAGGCACTTGCACCTCTTCACTTCATGAAGTGTTTGAATTTTTGGCACTGCTAACTTGTTTTATATATTTTCAGAAACCTGTTGTTGTGTTGGAAAATCACAGAGTAAGCAAAGATGAGTGACCATTTATTCAGAAACTAAGAGCAACTGCCCAGTGTGTCCACTGAGTACATAGTTAATCAAAGCAGATGCCCATAACATTGCTTTACTGTCACATAGTGGCAGTTCAATTGGGAGATTCTTTTGTGATGAAGAAAGAAAGTAGACAGTAATAACTCCCACTGTAGCACAAACTAAGAATTGTTCCCCACTTTTTTCAGTGTCATCTCAACCATACACACACTATGCCTTAGCAGAAAAGGAATCATTTCTTCTCCCACAAATGCTTATACTGATCTACACTGAAGTCATCTTCAATGTCATCCTCTATTGCATAGGTCTTCTTGGGCTTTCTCCTTTCCAGACGTGCTTTTCGTTCTTCTTCTGTGAGTGAACCGAGATCAAGGGGAAGCACTATGAGTTTCCTTGGTTCCTTGTATCGTATTGTAATCATAGATCCATCAGTGAGTACCATCTTGCATGGATATGTATGTACATAAGTGGTTCGATGCACTTTGGTTATGGAAGCCCTATTGCTATGAAAAGAACATGAGGGCAGAAGGTATCCAATTCCCAGCACATTTTTCTTTGATGGATGTATTTGAGTCTGTCTACAGAAATGTAACAGACGTGAACTAATGATCATCTCTCTGGTCAGATGGCAAGAAAAATGCTTTGTTCAAAGTCCCAGAGGATATTCATGGAGGTACCTGCAGTGAAGGAGAAAAAATCCAGATCATTTATATACTAATGCAGGTCACCAGAGTTACAATCATGAAGTTGAATTATCATCCACTCATCATAAGCCATCATTGTAGTACTAAATGTTTGGTTTTTTTTTAAACTTTAATTCATGACCAATCATGAGTGAAAATTTCATATGGACTGTTGCTGACTATAGGAGTATGGTATGTTACCATATAATGGCATCATTTGCAATAGTAAATCATCACAAGGTGTTTTTTAAGGAAAGTTATAGTCTCTAACCTTCTCTAAATCCTCTTATGCTTCCCTGGTCCAGCCTCTTATCTCTTCCCAATAAGAATGATTATTATATCATTCTTAATTAGGGGGATGGACATTCACAGGGTGGCACGATGACCAGTGTTCATAAGAAGAAAGTCATCCAGTGACATGGGGAAACCCAGGGGTTATGTAGGCAAATTTTACCTTCCCTCTCTATGCCTTGATGCCCATGCAAAAAGCTAAAGGACTCATCTCCATTTATATCATATCTCTTCACCAAATCCCACAAAATTCCTACTGAAGATGACAAGAGTGCAATATTTCAACGCTTCCATTTTGAAAATTCATGATGCTTATCCTACTGTAACCAGTCCCTTTGTAATCTATTTGAACTGGTCCCCCTCCTAAACCCTTTGTCTGCTCAATGTAATTTTTTTTTCAGGCCCTGGGATGGAAATAACCTCACTTTGTACAAGGGCTCTATGAAAAATAGATAACTGTGACATCAAAAGCAAAGGCAGCTATGAGACACAAACCAGAGTTGCCTACACCCAGAACTCTATGTAACCCCCCCACAAATTACCTCACTTTGCCAAGGGAAGTATACAAGAAATACCAAATGAATGACCCTGTTTTGAGCATATTCATCAAGGGCTAATGAAGGTATAATACAGGGTCATGGTGGTCTGGTCTCTATGAGCTGCAACCACTATCCAAAAACTCATAGTAGTATGAAACAACCCATGCCAGAACTTTCCCTCCATCAAGTGACATCAAGTCATTTTGAATACTCTGGTATTCAAAATGTATATGTATATAAATGTATACTCTGGTATTTAAAATGTATCAAGTCATTTTGAATACTCTGGTATTCAAAATGACTTGATACATTTTAAAATTAACTTAGTGCTATTCAGATTCTGTTTAAGTAGCTTACAATGAAAAAGTTCAGAAGATGGCCTGAAGAAAATTAGAAACAAAATCAATTCTAATTTACAATAGGCATAGCAGCCCTTACACAGTCGGTGACCA